CCTATTCAGTGCCCGACCAGCCTCTGAGGAAAAAAACCTTTCCCTGATAGCCAGCCTAATCGTCCCCTGACACAGCTCCTGGCATTCCCTTGGCTCCTGTCCCTGGTCGCAGAGAGCAGAGAGCAAAGCTGTCCCTGTGCTGCCCTTGAGAGGAGCTGAGAGGTCCCAAGTGAGGTGTGAGCTCAGTGTCCTCTCTGCAGCTGAACCAAATGCCCTGAGCCACTCTTTGTATGGCTTCCTGTCCAGCCTCTTCACTATCCCTGTGTCCCTCCTTCGGACATTTCTCCAATAGCCTGAGGTCTTTCTGACGTTGTGGCATCCAAAATTGCCCCCAGTGCTTGGAGAGACCACATCCCAGCCTAGAGCAGAGCAGGACAATCACCTCTCTGGAGCGGTGCCAGAAGACAGGGACAGTTGTCAAAAATCAGCTGGAGAAAGAAATCTAACCGAGAAACAGGTGATCTTGGCACAGGAAATGGAAGAAGCAGAGGAAGAAGATGAGGAGAGGATTCCTTATAAAAATGAAGAAAATGAGCATGCAGAACAGGGACTAAGCATTATGCAGGTAAGTGAGCAAGAGAATAAGTCTGAATGTGAAGGCAGTCTTGTTTAAAATAAGGCGGAATAGGAAGTCTTTTTGCTGAAAATAAGTCAAAAGTTTTTTTTGTTTAGTTTGTATACGAAGTGCACAGGGCTCTAGATCCTTTTGTGGGAAAGTGGAGCGTTTAAGTTCACAACCATTCTTTTGATCTTTTACCCTTGTAGAAACCTTGTACATAATTCTTTTTAATCTGTCTTTCCTCACAGTGTTTTCCGCCTATGGTGAATGATTTAAGCTATGTATTTGTACATAAGTATTAATTTATTTATGAATTTATTTATACTTTATTACCCTAACAAAAACCTTCTAAACATTGTTGACTCTGCCTGTGTCTTGCTGGCATATAAGTATATTAGTAAATAAATATATACAGGTATGCATATGTACATATATATACATATATAAATATATAAATATTGTCAGCACTGTGTAAATGTCCAGATTGATAATGAGAACATTATTCTAAATGTCCTTAGGATTCCTACACTAGCTGGTGCACTGTTGATTCTATGCTGATACCTTTAAAAGTAAAGTGGTAATTTCCAACCTTTTCCCAGTCAGCATCAAAGAGCAGTGAGGCCGAAAGTGCTGAAATTGCCACGGAGGTTTTTTTCACTGCTAGTGAAAACACTTACACTATTCTTGGAGTTGAAGAGGCAGGAAAGACTGACATCACAGAGAGTTATTTTACAAAATATGAAAAAGAAGAATCACTTCCTATGTACCTGAAATGTGTACTTCTCACAGAAGCCATGTTTGTCAAGCTGAATAAAAGGTGAGTAGAAAAAAAATTCTATTCTTTCTTTCTCTTCATGTAATAGACAAATTTTAGCTATTTAGAAGAAACATTAGACTACAGAGGAAAAAGTAATCTAATTACTGTTATATAAATAGATATTTCTATAGCTAGATATTTAATTATAAAATTATGATCATAGAATTATTAAGTTATTCCACTTCTTTAATTGAAACAAATATGAGAAAATGTTTATATTGTTTTTTTATCCATGGCTGTCAAAGTACCTCAAAAACATTTACCTTTACAGAACATTCATATTTTATGGGAAATTACTTAGTGAGAAAACATATTAGAGAAAGACAAGTAATTTGCCCAAATTCCCTGCAGAGCCATGAAGGTAAAATGCCTGGTACTCAGCAATATGCAGCTAGCTCAAAAACTCTACCAGTATTGTGCAAATGGTACTGAAACCATACCTTCCTATAGCCAGAAGTTGAATTCTTAGAAACAATATATTCAACAAATTCTCATTTATTATTTACTATTCCTCACTATCATATTTCTTTTTCAATCATAGGCTTCGCCTCTGCTTTTTTGAACACTTAGAGAAATGGTTTGCAGAATCCTTGTCCAACTCCTATGTCTTTGTAGCTGCCAAGAAAGAGGAGCTGAATTCAATATTTCTGCTGCATCTTAAGTTGCATCAACAAAAACAGGAGGAGATACAGACAAATATCTACAATGCTCGAGCTGGTATTGACTTTTTTTTGTATTCTGAGCATCACATCTCTTCGTTTAGAGATGGTCCTAGGTGGCCAAAATCTGTTTCAGCATTAGTTGACTCAGTAGTAGAGGACAACAGGAAGCAATTGACTGTGAATTCCCAGTGTATTATGCTACTCACATATTTTTCAAATGACATTTCTTTTCAGTAGCTCTTCCTGGTTTGTACTGTGTTATTTTTGGAAAAATAAACAGCAGTGCCTTGATTAAAATCTGTATTGTAGATGTCAAACATTCTATTGTCAATATTTGTGAATTCTCATTCACCTTGAAATTATTTAACAAGAGTTTGTGGTGTATAAACAATATTTTTAAAGTGTGTGGAAAAAGAAATTAACAAGCTGGGAGAGCCAAAATGTCAGGGCCAAGCTTCTGAAAACATGGGAAGAAGGATTTAACTCCATGAAATATCATTGAGCAGCTACAGACCATCTTCTAGTCAAAACTCTTTTTGCATGGGAAGTATCAAGTTTCTATGGTGAGAAAAAAATTTTGGACAGGTTTGTTGGTCTTTAACAGATAAGCTAAAAAATTCTTCTTTTGGAGAACAGGCAAATAAATTTTCAATTTGCTTTTTTGTGCAAAGAGAGCAGGTGCTTCTTCTGGCAGCTTTCTTGAGATGATTGGCTTGATTTATCCAGCTATCATTCCAGAAGAGAGACCAAAACTGATTTTTTTCTTTCCCTCACAAAACCAGGAAAAGTGGATTTTCCATTTAAAAATATAACCTTTAGTTTTGTTACAAGATATCTGTGGTTAAATAGATTAGAAGCTGTTAAGTATATATGTCTTACACAGGAGAAAAGTCAAAGAAACCAAATTGCATGTATCTAATCTGCATGGTTTATCTACTGCTCTGGCATTGTTTATTTTGCTGCTGCTGCTGATCACAGGTTGACAAGGCATTGTGGTAGTTCACAGTAAACAGGGAATAATGTCCCTATCGTAAACTTCTTTCTTTTCAGCGGAACTGTCGCTTCACAAAGAGCATCTTGAGTGCCACTGTGCTGTGTTGACAGAAGGCTTGAAAAAGGAGAAAGCTGAATTCCTCAGATTTTCGGACCAGCTAAATAACCTCAACACAAACTTTCATTCCCAAGTCTGTAATTTGGAGTATGACTTGCTCCACACTCCTGTGACTGAACAGTAAGTGTGCCACTGCTGTTGCTGTGAATTTCCCTAGTTAAATACTCCTGATTGCTCTCTGAGATGTTTATGGTTTCCATTCTGAACCTGTTCTATATGTCATTGCTCTTCAATGAGGAATACTTCATAAAACTTGAAAACATGTGAAGAATTTCTTTCCCTGAAAAAATTAAAATCAGGACTGGACACGTGAAAATTTTCATCTCCTTCTGAAATGCTGGCAGTCTTTAAGTAGAAAAGATGCTTCATCTGTTTAGATTTTATCCAGTTACTAAACGTGCATAGTAATATCAGTTGACTAATTGTTTTTGAATTAGTCAATAGTGTCAACTATTGCTGATACCTTCCATGGGTTCATCCAAACTATCCCAGGTTGGGGAGTTGCTTTGAGAGTCATAAATCACTTTTGAGTCCTCAAATTTTTTCATGTCTTTATAGCCAGCAGTTGCTGAATCATCATGTGTGTTCCTCTTCAGACATGTTTTCCCTGTCTTTTTTTATTTGCTGTTAGGTCAGCTTCTTCCAGCAACAATCTTGAATCACAGCTCCGCAACCATCTGGAATTTATCAGGGTTACTGTGAGAAGTTACCAGCAACACTTGGAGGAAGCTTTAGGAAAATTAAGGGATTCTAATGTGGGTTTTCTCAAAAGTTGCAGGTATGTAGTTATAGTGTTATTTATAAATGATTACCTAGCTCTGGGAATCGGTGTTTGTTGCATAGGCAGAACAGTAAAGTTTATTTTGTTATTCATCTAGTTTCCTATTTAAAAAAATAAATGTATCTTGTTAAACCACAATTATTATGCTGTTTTCATCACATTGGTGTTGATATATGTTTCAGGGCTGTTTACCTAAAGTAGTATTGGAGAAAAAGATGACTCACGGCCAGTTGTTTTTATGTTTGCTTTCAGATTATTTTCAGAGGTCGGTGACTTTTCTTCTGAGGAAGTAAAGTTTTTCAACAAGTATCTTCAGAAAGAAAGTAAGCAAATTGACTCCTTTGAAAGTTCAATCAAGACAGATGTGGAGAAAATAAAATCGAGCTGCTTGGAGCAGGTATGCAGAATTACATTTGTTGGGAAGGACGAGAATTTAATGGAGTAGTTTTACAGATATACAGAAGGTTCTATAGGAATGAAAGCAAGTTTTGATATAGAAGAAAAGAATTGCTGAGCCAGTCTGACTGGGTAACTAGAAGACGAAGAGCGAGTTGGAAGGGGCTTTTATGGCTTAGAGCAAAGGATAAATCTACCTCAAACAAAAGATGTTTTTACCAAACAAAAGGATTTTCACAGGCAAACAAGAAAGCCAATGTTGCAAGGAGAGAAAAGATCTTAGAAATTTCCACTGTAGAACAAGTCCCAAAGTCTAACATGTAATTACTAACTCATATGATTGGCTAGTCACTTACATAATAATTTTAGCTGTTTTGATACATTATATGTAAATATAAAAGGTATTGTGTATGATGTTGATTGGTAGTCATGTATTAAGATGCTCTGTAATGAAAAGTATATAATGTATTGTAACCAGAACTACATGGGCTTCAGGACACACAGCTTGCCTATAGCTAGCAGCTATAGGCTCACCCACAACCCTCAAGTGCTGTAACCTCGTCTATACAATAAAACAGCATTTTAAGAACTGCCTGAAGCCTTCATCTCTCTGTCAGGCTCTTACAGCATTCTTTCAAATGATGTTTTCTATTGACATATTTGATGCGGTTTGCAGTCAGCCTGCTTTCAGATTAGAACTGTAAGTCTGTTCTGTTTGGCAATTATGTGATGGAAAAAATTGGTAGAAATGGCAAGTTCTATCATTTAAGTTTTAAAAAGTGAAAAATTATCTTGTCCTATCTTTTGTTTCTGACATTCTTAAAGGCTATTGAACTTTTCAAGCAGTCTGAAAAAAAATTTGCTTCTCTCTCTCTGAGTCGAGCCTTTATGGAGAAGTTCCATCAATCTTTGAGAAAGCTACGACAGCAAATCAAATCAGAGGTACAAACAGAAACATCAGAACTTTGCTTAAATTCATTATAATAATTTTCTTGTATACCTTTGAGTAAATTTTGGCTGAATTCATAGTGGACAAATATTACATGATTTTTTATGTTGATTTAAAACGTGTTTTCTGTCACTGTCTGCTTAAAAGTTTATTTTTAATGCTGCTTCAGCTGTGCTGGAACACTATGACCATGCAGCACGTTGAGTATATACATCTGAATTCACCAGCATTTTTGTGTGGTGTAGTGTTGCTTTTGTGAATTACTCTTTTCTGCTTTTCCTCTCAGTACTGGGGATTTTTAACCAGTTTTTATCAGTGGTTCTAGTGTTTGAAAGTGGAGCCTCTGAAACTCCTGTGAATGGGGACTTGACTTCTCCAGTGTTTGTTTCTGCTTTAGGTAGCGAATTCCAATTTGCAGTCCATCACATTAAAGTCTTACCTGGAAAAGCTGCAGCAGAAGAGAGATGCTTATGTTCATTCTACTGCAGATAAAGAAGTAACTTCTAATCAGCATGAAACGGTATTTAATTTGACTTGTTATTAATTGTTATTAATTTGGCATAAACTTAATATTTTTGAGGAAGATTTATGTTTCCTCATATTTGGGGCTGGGCAGAAACACAGAAATTTTGCTCAGAAAGGTCCTTGTCTTAGATTCAGCTGGGATAGAGTTATTTTCTTCAGTAGCCGTTAGACTGTTGTGTTTTGGATCCGGAATGAGAATGGTATTGATAACTCAGTTTTTGTTGTGTTTATCCTAAGTCAAGGACTTTTTTTTCCTTGTCTCCTGCTCCGCCACTGAGGAGGCTCACAAAGGAAACTGGGAGGGAGCATAGCTGAGACAGGTGACCCAAACTGGCCAAAGGGATATTCCAGCCCATGGAATGTCATGTCCAGTCTATAAACTGGGGGAGTTATCCAGAAAGGCCAGTCTAGGTTCAGGAAGGGGGGTCTGGAATCAGTCAGAGGTGGTGTGCAATGGTGTTGTAAATCACTTGGTTTCCACTTTTTCTTATTATTATTTACCATTATCACTGTATTTCACTTTCAATTATTAAATTGTTCTTATCTCAACATACTAGATTTCTTTTGATTCTCCTCCCCATTCCACCAGGGCAAGGAGGGAGAAAAAGAAGGTTGAGCTGTGTGGTGCTTAATTTCTAGCTGGGTTTAAAACCACAACAGTCCTTTTTGGACAGTCGGTACCTGTTTTCCTGTTTGCCAAACAAAAGCCTCAGCCTCTTGTATGATCTCATCGCTTCCATGTATGTGTACATAAACTGGTGACAGAACAGAGGCAAATAATTCGCAAGAGTCAGCATGTTTGAAAAGGTTAGAACAGTTAGTTTAGTAAATACCATCTGTATTTTCAGGCTTTAACTTCTGAAGAGTTGTATGATTTTGCCAGAGAGGTGTTAAAAGAGCTGAAAAAGAGGAGCAAGTATCTTGACTGCTTCGTAGTAGAAGCAAAGATCCCACATGCCACTGTAAGATAACATTCACATTCTCTGCATTTTATTTAATATTGAGAGAATTTTCATGCCTACATGTTTTAATGGCTTTTCAGAATTTGTGCTTGAATTTTCAAATGAAAAAAGAATCTGCATTGTGCCAAGATGTGAAAGACACTGTAGCATTAGGACAGCCTTTTTAAGAGGCTGAGTAAATCACCAAGTCTACGAAGTGCTGAAGAGATACGTGACATTGCAATGAGTTCGTCAGTTCTTCAGAAGAGTTGGTTTTCAAGGTGTAGCACTATTCAGAGATACATATTTCATGAGTTTCTTTAAATTATTTTTTTAAAAAATCCCAGGTGTGTCCTGAAGGGACTTTGCTTTTATCAAACAGTTGTGTTTTCTTTCCTCTCTTTTCTGGAAAGTCTGTCTTTATTTCATAATCTCAGTGGATCACTGTTTTAAGAATATGTCCTTAAATACTGTTCATAATGATTGTGAGAACCTATTCTTAACTGCTTTGAAATGTTTTAGAGCTGTTACAACATTGCTGTTAGAATGACAAAAAATTTATTTCAGCCTGTGAAGCAAGATATTGTCTGCTTAGAAAATCTGCTCTAGTACTCAGTTATTACATGGCACGCTTTCACAAACTGCCTGCTACGGTCTACAGGGCTTCATTTGTCTTCCCGTTTCAGGAGGATTTCACTCCTGACACAGATGGGACGTTGCAAGAGGACTTCACAACACTTGACACGGATGGGAAGTTACAAGATTTCATTGCTTCTGCTGCTCCAAAAGAGAGTCTCAGAGATGAGAGCAAAAGGATGGTGATGGGACTGGATCCTGAAAAATTCCCTTTGTTAAATCCAAGTGGAATGGATGCATCAATATTTGATGATTTGGCAATAAGTGTTATCAAAAATTTAGCTGGGTAAGTATTTCTTTGCCTAAAGGTAGTTTTCAGTCCTTGTCTTTATTTATATTTTCTTTGCCCAGAACTAGTGAATAGACTGTTCATAGGTAATACTACTACATATTTTCTGGTCAGTCTAACTTTAAAAATTAAGCTAGCTGAGACTGCTTTCTTTTTAAAATCAAGATTTCTCATAGCCAAAAATACCCCTTTGTGAATAATATGTGACATCTAGTATACAATGATAAATTTTAGGTATTTAATTTTTGTCTTCCAGAGCCTTATTTTAGTTAAAAGGTGATTACCTGCTACACAGTTGACTGAATATACAAAGTGTAAAATGAAAAGTATGACAGATGTTTGATTTGCAAATAATATTTTAATGCAGTTTTGCTTGTAGAAATTCCAAAATTCCAGTTAAACAATCAGTCCCATGAAATTACTTCTATGTACACTGTCAGTTGTAAAACTAACCCTGTCTGTTAAATATGATCTCAGAAATTTAATTCAGCACATGACAGGGATAGAGAACTTGCCTAGTTTGCTATATAATATAGAGCATAAAATGACAGGATGTTCAGTAGTATTTAGCTCTTTTTTTTTTTTTTTTTTTCAGATTTGGCCTATCAAAAGAATCCCGAGACGTAAATCAGGGGACAAATGATCCAGGTGTGCCTGTATTTATTTTAATATTTTATTTTCATCTGAATTGTAGTTCCTGGCATTTTACTGCACAGGTCTAGCATGGTCCAGGCAGTGGATTCTATGCTAGGAACTCTGACATAGTTGTGCTGATAGTTCTCACCTCTTTTCCTGGACATCTTTACTTAGATTAAGATGATTTTGGGCTCCTAAAGCAATGAAAGCTGCAGAATGAGATAATAATGTTATAAAGAGTACCTGTGATAGCAAAAGGAAAACAGGGTCAAGAAAAGAAGTGGAGCACAAATCATGAAATTATAGGGAACCAGGATTCTTCTCACATAGTATTATCATCTACTCAAAGGCGAGCGCAGAGGTAACCTCAGATGCTCCCTACCTAGTGTTCCCATTTCCTCATCTCTCTCTTGCAGACCTTGATTCCTCCAGCCATTTCCAAAGCTTCCACATTTGCAAGTCCCCATGACCATTAAAAGTATTCTATGAATGTAGCCCATTCATGCTCCTTATTGACCTGTCTCCAATTTGCTTTAAATCTCCTCCATCGACTGTGTATTTTCAGTGACATTCTTGTGAGTCATGCGCCAGCACATAACCTTTATTGCTATTGCCACTTCTGGTTTACTTCAGGCCTGTCTGACAGAAATTACTGTTCCTATAGTTGTCCCTTACATATTGTAAGGAAACGTTATAGAAATAAGAATATAAAATATATATGCACATAAGAAGTACTTCAGTTGTCATTTACGCAATATTCTTCTTTCCGTGTTAACGATAAGCAATTCGAGTAAAGAAGTTATCTGATGCACATTCTCAGAAGTCTGCTAGCAAGAGGTCATCTCGGGATGAAACAAAGCAAAAAAAAAGGTGAGAACCTTAAAAGGATATTCCTATGCAAGAATTTACCTAAACTTTGTCTATTCATTGAAAGATTCTTACTGCTTATTTGTATTAGCCTTCTTTCAATCTACTTCTTATCACTTGGGATCTCTTACATGTTTATGTCCACATGATCAACTTTTTGGTTTTTTCCCCCAGATTTTGACTGGAAAAATATTATTATTTTTCTCTTTCATCTGCTGCGTTTTGTATTTTGAAGCTGTTGAGATATAGACTAACCCTTAAATCAATGTGGCTGAATTTTCAGGTGTGTCTAAATAGTTTGTCTTCAAATTAGTCCACAGACTGATGACATGAGCTACTGTAATAGCGAAAACAACAAAATATTTTTGAACAAATGAGAGTTTAGAAGAGAATTCTGAAAATCTTTTGCCATCAAATTACTATCTTTATATTGTCATGGTTTGGTAATGGTATTCTCCAGGTTTATGCTCCTACTAAAACGCTCCAAAGCATGCGCCTCTTGCTCACTCCCCTTTCCCTGCAGCAGCTGGAGAGGAAAATTGGAGGCACAAAAGGTGAAGATAAGGTTGAGATAAGAACAATTTACTAGAAACAGCAATGAGATAAAAAAGAACAAACAGCAGCAATGTTAATAGTAAAGAGTACAAGAAAGGCAAGCGATTCACATATGAATGCTCACCATGAGGAAACCCCTGACAGTACCTGACTGCTACCACATTCCCCAGCAGCAGAGACCCTTCCACCCACCCCCCACAATGTTAAGAGGTGGTAGAGAATAACCTCCGAGTCCTGGCCTTACCCCCTTCTGGCTACTGCAGAAATTAACTGTGTCCTGGCCAGAACCAGGACACATAGAATACTAGTTCTAGAGTTAACATTTTTTCTAATTTTTCTTCAGTTTCATGTCTGTTGTATGACTGACTAGCTCAAATCATCAGCCAGAGAAGGAAAACACTTGTGGATAGTTTCAAATTAATGTTTTTCCTTCCAGTGAAAAAGGCCGAAAATCTCCTACAAGGGATGAGAGATCCGAGATATTTGGAAAGAAGCCTGCAAAGTCTGAGTAAGTCGTGTATTTCCAGAACAAGAAGTTAATCTATAAAAACTCTCCATTGTATGTATGTATGTATGTATGTATGTATCTGCCTATCTATCTATCTATCTATCTATCTATCTATATATCTATGTATCTATCATTGTGACCTATGGAGTTCACTATTTAATTTTGAGGTATTTAGCCTTGATATTTATAGGTCAAAGTACTTCCAGAACAGTTCCTTTTTGCAGCATAATAAAACTGAAGATATAAGTAATCTGGTTCATTCTGTCTAATGTCTGAAGTGGGGGGTCTTATTGGAGCCCATTTTGTACATTTGTAAGAAGTGGGTGGGGAATGTAAAATAGTCTGTCTTTCAATTATTTTCACACCTAAGAAGAGAAATACATTTTACGTCTTCGTTCTTGTGCTCAGTATTTCTTAATTGGAATAAACAAGGACCAAACAGGTTTCGTTCCCCTTTTTTAAGAAAATTATCCTATTGTTTCTTGCTATGTGCAGCTGTACTCTATAGAACTGAGGTATTTTGTACATGCCGTACAAAACTATTCAAATTAATGCTTAAGATGTTTAAGTGTTGGGGAATTTTGTTCCATGTTATCTTTCAAAATAATTCCAGTAAACACCTAGACCCACTTCAAATATTTTTGCTTTATATAAAATACATGGTGAGCTCTTTGGGCACAGGAATTTGGCTAAGATTGCTTTTTTGTAACAGTGACATAGCAGTGCACCCCAGCGAGCAATTGCAGTATCTCCTTGTCCTGGCTGCATCTGAAGAGAATCTGTGCTAATATGGGGAACGGTTCTTAGGCCTGTTGAATATTGGTTTGTGTATGCTCTGAAAAACGTACTGAAATTAACCTGAACAAAATACTTGAAAAATAGTGAATATTGCCAGTGTGATTATTTAATGGTGTGATCATATTTTTAAATTTTTAATTTTTTTTTTTCTTTTCAGTACTTTTAAGGGGATTATTATGAATATTCTCTGGAAGGGTAACAACACCTTGCTCTACCTTGGTGAGGTAAGGAAATGTGTTCTTTAGTCAATTCTGCTTTCATAGGTGTACTCTTGTGTCAGAGAAATAATTTGATTCTTTCAGTATTTGGCAGACCGTCTAAAAATTTTCCCTTCTTCTCCTACTGTGATATACCTAATATGTGACATGTTTAAATGTGTTGTCAACATTTTTCTGGTTTATCTTTCCCTTCTGCAGGAGTTCTATGGAGAAAAGAAGAATCCTCAGAAGGGAATGCTTGAAGATCTTCCAGACACATTTGAACATTGGGCAGAAATGCTCAGACTGAAACTACTGTCATACCAAAGACAGACAGATGATTACTACAATTTCTGTCTTAGAGGTAAATTCATTCAGTTAAGACTTGCATTTTCTTGCGTATGTAATTTTTCAGTATGTAAGCTGAAAATTGCAGTGACCAAGAATTATGTTATTGTCACAATCCATCACACTCAGTGGAAAAACTCTAGTTGGCTTTACTGGAAATTGAACCAATATTATTTTTTATGTATTATCAGCTACAAAAAGTGTAGCAGAAGGGCACTTGACTAAGTTAAAAGACATGTATAATGTCACAACTTTGAGCAAGTGTATGTTTCTCAAAGCTTTGCACCTAGAAAAAGGAATGTCAGGAACATAATCGCTGTGAGAGAAAATTCCATGCTGTTTGTGTCATATACACACCATGTCTTTTCCAAAAAGAATTTTGGGATCAGCTGAAGTGGTTTGAAGAGGAACTCTCTTCTGTTTCCCAACTGGTCGTGGAAAGTCTTTTGAAAGAACATGAGCAGAAACTCAACTCTTGTACTGGTCATATTCAGCATCTCTTCAACAAACAGCTGAAAGAGTGGGAGGATATGAAGGTATGTATCATGGACATATTGGAATGCCTTTTAGTGTAACCAATGCTAAGTGCATCAAATTGATAAAATTTTATTTTTCTCATTCTCATTATTTGCTTCATCACTTTCTGCTGAGCTGACCACAGATGTAGTTTCTGTGTTTTCAGAATCTACTTAGTTGTCCTGGAAGCTTTGTATTTCGTGAAACTCTGTCCCTTCTCTCCCAGCTTCCAGCACTGGCCTGCCTCTTTCTAATCTTCTCAGCTCTGCCTGTCATCTTACACTTGGATTGTCAACTCTGTGAGGGCTGTGACCTTGTGGTACGACCAGACAGCTCCTACTGTATGGGTGCACTCCTTTGTAAGAGCTATGATGTAGGGATAATGAAATACTATTCTTTACCATCATTCATAAAGGAGGCATATTTTGCCAAATAATATCAGAACTGAGAACAGAATCATAATGGAGATCATGCAGAAAATGCTACAATGTCTTGCAATTATGTCTGAGTATTAAAAATTATTTAAAAATTGCAAATGTGGAGATAGAAAAAATATCTTACTTACCACATGGTAGAAGAGATGATTTTTTGTTGAAAATAAATCCCAAAGTGAGACCAGAGGTCTGCAGAGAAGCAATTTGGTGCATGTTGTACTGCAAAGCTTATATCGAGACAACTAAGAAGTAGCTCTATTTTCCTTTTCTTTCTGAATACCTTTATAGAAAATGCTTGTAGTTTACTTCTTCCTTTTTATGGCTCACAGTACATTCTTTACTGAAGGCATTTCTTTCTTATATATTTGCTTAAAGACTATGCACCGGAGAAAATTACATTACTCCCTAGTACAGCCAAATAACTCACTTCAGCTGGAGGCTTTGTGCCAAGAGGAAATAAAAAGGCAAAGAGATCAAACTGATGGTGTTCATCTCAACACAAAGATGCTGCAGGTAATTGTAAAGCCCTTGCTTAATGTAGACTTAAATGTTGCATTTGGAAAGGAGGGTGTATTTTGGATACATTTTTCCTCCCCATCCAAAGGAAACGTGAATTTTTTTTCAGTTTTAGGCAATCCTGTTCATATATCGCTAAATCTTTAAGTAATATATTGTCAGCATTAGATCAATATAGACATAAATATATCTGCACACATACAGGGGCTTAGATACCTTATGAAATTTGTTGATATTTTGTATCATTCATGGAACCCACTGGCTATGCGCTTAATGGTGGGTAAGAGTATTGTCTGTGGTGGTGACATGCTCTGGTTAGTACTCTTACTTCCAGACAACAGATGCCTGGAAGAGTTTCTTTTCTGTGCATTTCATTAGTGCAAATGATTGACACTTTTCTACACAAGATGAAGAAATAAGCTGAAATAAACTGAATTTACAGGAGAGGCTCAGGTATCAAAGTACCTTTCCCCCATCGTCCCCTGGGTTAATTGAAGGTTGGTTCCCCAAAATTAAAGCCCATTATTTAGTTCTCTCAGGCCACTTACTCCAAATTCTACACCGTCTGCAGAGTACCGGTATTTTTAATTCCAAAGTAGTATCTCCTTCTACTCCTAGTTCTGCATAGAAACACTAATACCCTGTTTGAGAGTAACACCTGGGCTAAGCACTTCCACCCAAAATACCTGAATTCCAAAGTGATCTTCTCTGTGGCTGGAAGCTGGTTTTATCACATTTAACCCAAATGTGTAACTACTAGGTACCTATACATAAAACAGTTTTTTGAACTTTGTGTTGAGATTGTCATGGGTCTAGGTCTTCAAAAAAGGCAAGAGCAGTTGTTGGTTGCTGTAAAGTTTTTTGTAAAGGCACATCAGTGTCAAAGACAGAGAGTCCCAAGTGTTAAAGTCCATGCTGAAAGCTTTTGGCATAGAGTCCTGATTACAAGTAGAAGCAGCTCTCTGGTGCAAGGTCCCAAGAAGGGCCAAAATTGCAGCAGCTCCTCTCTTATTCCGGGCAATGATGATGGCAGTGAGGAGAAAGGGAGAGAGAGTCTCTCCCCAATGCATGGATTCTTATTTACAAATTACCCAATGAGCTAAAAACATGAACCTGAAGCATTTCTTCTAAATCTATTAGAATTCTAGTTCTATAGTACTAAAATTTACACATAACTTGCGCGTATAGCCTATCTTGTCACGCAAATAATTCTATCTTGTTCTATCTGAAGAATATAAGCAAATTCTTACTATATTTTTATTATGTCTAGAACTATGTTTTTGAACTCTCACTGAAGCTTGTTTTTTGCACTTATGTCTAGAACTATGTTTTTGAGCTCTCACTGAAGCCTGTTTTTGAAGCTTGTTTTTTACACCAGATTCTAAGGCTTTTGCTCTTAAGGCACTTAAAACATATTCTTATTTACTTAAGCTTACTCCTCAATTTCATGTATGAGTAGTTTAATATAGTTTAATTTATCTAAAGGTTTTAATTTGATTCCTGCATTCTCATCTCTCTCTGAGGAACTCAGAGAGACCGCTGTTTTACACACTACAACATTAGATAATCAGGCAATGTTAAGAATACTGCAGAGACACTTGGAGACCCTTTTATATGCAACTTTGAGCCTTATGTCTGTTATCTGCAGCTACTGCCAGGGTTTGATATTTTTGTAGTCTTTCAGAGACAAGTTAAAAGGAGAATAGATCAAATTATTAATAGAATTCCTCTCACTTTTCTCCAATGTTGCAACAGGATTGTGCTGCTGAGTGTGCTCAGAGCTTTTTTTCTGCACTGGCTGCCCTCACTGAAAAGCTCCTCTTGGAACTAGATGAAACTATCACTACTGATGATGTGAAAGTAGCAGGTAAAAAAAAGAAGAGATTGCTTGTTCAGCAAAAATGGCAGCAGTCTGTCCCTAGGAAGAGGAGGCTTTGATATGCTATAGTATTTTAAATTCAAAAAATTGTATAATAAAGCACCCGAAGCTATTTCTTGAGTATGAAGAGCATTGAGCCACACAATTACACGAAAACAATTGTATTCCTGACATTGTTTTGTTTCTGCTGAGCATATCTTCTTTTACCTCCCAGGAACTGAAATACCTACAACAGAGATGTCGACTTTAAAGCATTGTAAACAAGATGGACTTCCTCTAGGAACTTCCAAAGTTCAACAGCTAGTCAAACGAAGAAGGAGGTAGTATTTGGAGATACTGAACACTGTTCTGTCTGATTCCTCTGCTCTGAAATGATAACAGGCCCTATCCTCATAGTCTTTTGCTGCACTTGTTGAAACTGCCCACCATTAGTAATGTCATTGAACTACTAAATGGGGTAGTTTGAGTGGGTAATGATTTTAAAGAAAGAATTACAATGGATCCAAATAAAAGTGAATTACATATAGTATTGTAAAACAATACCATGCCACTCCTATTGCTATGCCACTTGCCTGTCACTAGTTATCAATTCATTACATTCAGATCTATTAATAGTCTGTGTTGTCATTCAGAAGAAATTAATTCTATACTGTGGAGAGATCTCGATGCTTTAAAATAAAAGGTGATTGTACTAAACAAAGATGTATTTAGGGTAAACCTTTTGTGGAAAAAAAACAACATTGATCTTTGGCACCTTAAGTGCAAGTAACGTGAATTAGTATGATTTGTTCTCTTTTCTAACTTTTTTTCTCATGTGTTTTTTGGTTGGTTTGGCTTTTTATAGGTCTTGGCCAGGAATACCCAAGACTACTCTTTGTGACTCTCCAGACTATATTCTTTGCAGAGGAACTGCGTCCGTTTCAACAGCTAAGACTACCTTGGGCCATCTGGCAGTGGTGCATGCAAGCCAAGCTGCATATCAGGTGGGTCTGTGGGGAAGGATTCTTGAGGCTGCTGCTGTTGTGGGTCTGGTTTTTCAAGAAGACAATTATAGAATCTTAGTTGTGTGTGTAAGTTTTTAACATACACAGTGTTTGCAGATCTTAAGGCCCTATGATCCATGTTAGAAAGCCTTTCTTGTGTCCATTTCTTTGTGATGCTGTCAGAAGCAGACAGGGTTGGTTTCTTAGGGGGTCTGCTTATTCAGAGACATGACAAAGGAGAATTGTTTGAGCAGAGAAGCATGAAAGGTGTCAGAAACAGGACACTGCATTTTGGCAGCATCATAGTTCCAAAAGCAGCTGTGCCCCAGTGCCATTCCAGTCCTGCTTGTTTTCACTCACCTTTCTGAAGCCTACAGCTCCAGCCTTAGATCACAAAAGCTGACTTTCCCATAAAAAATGAAGAGCTGTAAAATACTTCATACCTATCTTATATCCACAGCTATCACAGATGGCTGTGTCCACCATAAAAATGATCACTCTTTCTTCACTGAGTGTTAAAAGAATGCAGGCAACTCTGAACCTCTGACTGGCACAGACAATTGTTTTCAAAACAGCAGTACTCAGCAGTTAGGAGAGTATTTTTATGTTCAATCACTTGGAGATGTGTTTATGCATCTGACCTGGAAGTAATTGTACTCTCATGGAACTAAAATAACTTTCAGAAAATACCTGTTTTTAATAGGGGAATGTAATATATACTGTCAGTGATGGTAAATTACATCAAAACTATCAATTTGCATGTGTGTTCTATGTATCTAGTTCTAATGCCCAAGGACCTGATTACAGCACAGATTTGAAGGGAATGTGATTGTTTGGATACAAATGGTCTAATACAAATAGTTAGATAAAAGGATTGGCTATAGAATGCATGCACACCACAGGAGTATTTTCCTGCATGTGTGTTGCATTAAAAATACAGTACTTTATGTTTTGGAGCATAGACTCTTTAGGAATATTAAAGTGCCTTGAGGCTTTTATGGTAGTCTACAAGTTTCTGTCTAGAGGAAACAACTTTGTAGCAATTTTGTAATAGTTCAGTTCATACTTTTGAGTTAAGAAGCTCCAGCAAGAACCCAAGTGCATCTTGTGTAGGAGATACCTACTTGGGTCTTGAGAGAAGGCAACTCCCTACTCTTAGGAACTAATGAAAGTTAGATTAAGATTTTGCATTTTAACAAAACTTAAATATTGCTGATAATTTAATTTCAGAAGTCTTTAAAAGGAGCACAGCTAATAGTTAATTATTCATACGGTTCTATTATCAAAAGCAAAAAATAAGTGGCCTCTATGCAGTCTGCTGACACAATGGATCAGGACTTGGATTTAGGCAAATAAAATTATATTTCATCACTACTAATTTTGTCCTTAATTGTTGGGGTTTTTTATACAGAAATACAAAAGTAAAGTTGAACAGATGTTTGCCCAGATTAAGGAAGAAAATGCAGATCAGCTGTTGGCAATTCAGCGTTGGAATGATTGGTGGGAAGAATCTGTCCGGAAGATAAAGCTACTCTACGTCTGAGATCAGTCAAATTTTGTTGAGCGTTTTTGGTTGTAAATTGACAATGAATGTCACTGATATTTTTCTTTTATCTTACTAATCTGTTGCATTGAAAGAAGCTACTTTTTGCCTTTTTGTTTGTTTTGCCATGTTACCACTCTTGTTTCCTCATATGCAGTCTTAAGACTACTACTATACGCATCTTTACAATTTACATAAGCACCTGGTTTGACTTACAGTATCATCTGGTACTATTCATATGTGTTTGTGCACATGAACCCTCTGTGCAAGGGCTCTTAATGCATATTTTTTAGTGAGGCTGATAGGATTTTGTTGCAGTTTTGCCCCTGTGAGCTGGTTTCGTCTGAAAACTCTCCGAGGCATGGATGAGAACTATCCCTAACTGAGCACCCTTGCATCAACCCTGAAAAATATACACATTTTTTGTCTTGGTTGAACAAGCTTTGACTTGCCTACCCTTCCTATTCCTTGTCTTGCCTTTCCCACTTCTATCTTGTGTTGCCTACCCTTGCATACCACTTTCTTTCATTGCCATGCCTTGCCTACCCCTCCCTTGCCTTATCTATCCCTCTCTTGCCTTTCCTTCCCTTCTCCTCCTTTGCCTTGCCCCTCTGTTACCCCTTACTTTCCTTGCCATGTTTTGTTCCTCCCTTGCCCCACTCTTCCCCCTACCTTTTCCCTTTTCCTGCCTTGTATTGACTTGTCCCTCCTATGCTACTCCCTTGCCTTGTCTTTCTTTACTTTGGTCCTCTGACTTACCCCTCCTTGCCTTTCCCTGCCTCCATCTTGCCCCTCCCTTGCCTTCCCCCTCTTGTGTTTTCTCACCTTGCCTCTACATTGTGTTTCTTTGCTTTTCTTTGCCCATCCCTTGCTTTGCATTTGCTTTCCTTCCTTTGCCCATCCCTTGCCTTGCCTATCCTTGCCCCCCATGACCTCCCCTTTCATTGTCTACCCTTGCCGCTCCCTTGCCTTAGTTTCACTTTCCTTTCTTTGCCCATCCCATGCTCCACCCGTGCCTTACTCCACTCTTTCCCTTCCCTTGTCTTTCCTTGCCATGCCTCTTCTTTGCCTTTCCTCTCTCTTGCCTTACCTACCCGTCTCTTGCCTTGCCTAACCCTCCATTGCCCTTTCTTGCCTACCTTTCCCCTGCCTTGTAATTCTCCTTTCATTGCCCACCCCTTGCCTTGCCTTGCTTTGCCTCTCCCTTGCCCCTTTTACCCTCTCTACTGCCTTGCCTTCCTTGCCCCCTCCATTGCCTTTTCCCTCCCTCCATTACCCTGCCTTTACTTTCCTTCCTTTGCCTATCCCTTGCCTTGCCAACCCCTGTCCTTTACTTTCTTTGCCTTGCCTTAATTTGCTCTTGCCTTTCCCCTCCTTGCCTTTCATTACTCTTCTCTTGCCTACCCTTGCCTGGTTTTTCCCCTCCCTTATTTAGCTTTTCCTTGCCTTGCCTTATCTTACCTTGCCCTGTCATTGTCCCTCTCTGTCCTTCCCTTGCCTCTTCTTTGCCTTATCCCTTCTTGCCTTGCCTTTCCCTTGCCTTGCCTTGTTTTGACTTGGTCCTTGTCCTGGGTCTTGGTTTCTCAGTGAATTTCTTCCCATTGTTATTAGGGAGACTGTGGAAGGGGGAGGAGGTGGCTCTCTGGGTGAATAGTCAGTGATCAAGACACAAAAGGAAGTGGCCAATGGCCCTGTCATTCAGTGAACTAGTTTTGGGGTTGGGGAGTTTTCGCTGGGGGACAGGATCTTCTGCTTGGAGTTCTTCAGGAGTTGTGACTTGGTGCTTTGAATGGTCTGACCCAAGACTTGGCCGCCGGTAGGCCCTTCCTTTTGCTGTGGGTTCCAGAGCAGTTGCATGGTGTGCTGCCTGGAGTCAGGCAGTGTCGGCCAGATCTCTTTCTGCGCATTAGCTCAGCACCATGATCAAGTCCTGGCTACCTCCAGCTTGTGCCTACTGCTGTTGGCAGTGCCAAGACCAGTTGCCACCCGCGTGAGTTTGTAGGAGGAGCAATTTTCTTCCTTCCTGTGCTGGCTTGGAGAAGATCACTGCAGCTTTTGCCCCACTGGAGCTGCCAGCTCATCTGCTGGTTGCGATTGAGCCATTGCAGCCTCTGCTTCCCAAAGTGTGCCAGGACCTCCTGCCAAATGTAGTCATAACTACACCAAAGGGGGAAAATTGGTATTTAGCATGTGGGAAGTTTCTGTTACTGTCTTGCTGTTATATTGGGGTTTGTTTCTAGTAAAGAACTGTTACTCCTTTTCCTTTGCCTGGACATACCATAATTTTGAAGTTATAATAATTTGCAGGGAGAGGGGTCTTCTTTCCATTCCAGGAAGGTTCCATTGCATTTCCTTGTCCTTCCTCCTTTTCCTTGCTCCCCTACCTGTCCCTGACCCTCCACTTGCCTTGCTTTGCCCTTCTTTTGCCCCTCCCTTTCCCCTTTCTTGCTTTGCACTGACTTGCCCCTCCTGTGCTCCTCCTTTGCCTCTACCTTTCCCACCCCCTGTTTGGCTTTTCTTTGCCTTGCCTTTCTCTTCCCTTGCATTGCTTTCCCTTTCCCCTGCTTTTGCCTTTCCTGCTTTGTCCCTTCCTTATCTGGCCCCTTCCTTATCTTGCCCTTGCCTTGCCTGACTCTCCATTTCTTTGCCTACTCCATCCTTTCCTTGCCTTGTCTACATGTCCCTTGCATTTCCTTGCCTATCCTTCCCTTGACTTTTGGCAAGGAAATGCAAGGGAGGGACAGGAAAGGAAAGTGAAGACGATGGAGGGGTAAGTAAGATGATACAGGAGAGATGTGGGGAAGGCTCCACTACCTCTTTGGGCAGCCCATTCTAATATCTAATCACTCTTTCTGAAAAGAATTTCTTTCTAATTAACAACCTAAGCCGCCCCTGTCACAGCCTAAGATTATGTCCCTTTGTCCTATCACTGCTTGCTTGGGAGCAGAGCCCAACCCCCACCTGGCCTCACTGTGGTCAGAGAGTTGTAGAGAGCAGTAAGGTCACCCCTGAGCCTCCTCCAGGCCAAACAAGGCCATCTCACTCAGCCACTCTTCATAACACATACACTTCAGACTGTTCATGAGTTTCATTGTCCTTCTCTGGACCTGTTCTAGCCCCTCAAGGTCTCTCTGATCATGAGAGATCTGCCCAGAACTGGACGCAGCACTCAAAGTCCCTCAGTTGTGCCAGTACAGGGGACAGGAACTGCCCTGGGCCTCTGCCCAGACCATGGCTGGCACAGCCCAGGGGCCATTGGCCTCTTGCCCACCTGGGCTCCTGTCCAGCCACTGGCACCAGGATCCCCAGGGCCTTTCCGAATGGTCACTTTCCAGTCAGTCTGCCCCAGCCTCAAGCTGCAGGGGATTACTGTGGACAAAGTGTAGGGATCTGTCACTTTGCCTTGTTGACCACCCTCAGACCATTGGTGTTGGCCCATCAATCCAGCCTGTTTGGGTCCCTCTGCAGGGCTGTCTTGAGTTGGTTTTCTATTCTTTGATTGTATGCTCTATGCCTGCTCTATGCTCTATTGCTGTAGTTTGAAGGTGGATCCAGGGGAGGGAGGAGCCTAGGGGGGTCTTTGATGCGCTCTATTCAATGCCTCACTGCCCAGACATCCGTCATGCCGTGTGGACTGGATTCCTTTTTTTGCTTAGCTTGCTTAGGTTTTTTTAGCTTAAGCAAGAAGTTGGTTTTTTCCCCCTTTCCTTGGCCTTGGAGACTGCGACAGCAATCCTTCAGTGCTTTTTTTCCTTGAACTGGATGGTTGGGTTTTGGTTTGAGATCAGAGAGGACAATCGATGGAAGACGAATCAGCCAAGAACCAGTGAAGGTAAGGGACCACTCCATCCCAGCCCCAGACCTTGGAAAAGCCGAGCAAACAAGAGAAAGGACACCAAATCCACCAGCTTCATCTGCTGTGAAGAGGGGACCCACACCAGAGATTGACCAGATTCTCATCTGTTTTGCCCAAGCTTTGGTGTGAACCCTTTGGAGTTTTTTTCCATTCTTGAGACAGGACCCAGTGCCATTTTGCTGTGGGGTTTTTTTCCCTTTCCTTGGATTTTTTTTTTTTTTATTCCAGTGTGAGTGTATGTGTGAGGGGAGGGGGCGGGGGGGTAAAGTCTGACAATTCAATATTTAACATTTATTCTTTTTTTCTCCCCCATGATGTGCTGTGTGGGAACTCTCTCAAATGGATGGGGTTTTTTCACTTTCATCCACTAGTATTCATCTGTTATTAGCAGAAAGGGATTGTTGAAACCCTTTTTTGTTAGAGGAAACAACCATTCCAGTGTGTTTTTCTCCTAAACTTATCTCTAACTAGAGACACGTCCATAAAAAAGAAGGCAAAACCTGTGCTAAACTAGGGAAGAGGGAAAGAAACTGACCAACCCCTCACCTCTCTTTCCTTCACCAATGCCAGCTAAAACCATTTTTTACAGCTGGGAAAACAACCTGAAACAACCTTATCTTGGAGTGATTTAAGATGATAGTCTATTCCATGATCTTCTGTTTTATGCCCAAAAATAGTTGCTGTTATCTTTAAGGTCTGGGACTGGGTGTGTATGGTGCTGGGCAGGGGGGTGTTTTGAGCTTTTTGGTGGGCATGTTTGAAGCCTCACTGCCCAGGTGTTCCATGGTGCTGTGTGGCTTAGTTTTGCTTGGCAGGAACAAATGACAAATCAATGTGATTATGAAGAAGCCACTTTATTGTGTACCTTATACCCTACTTACCTTATATCCTACTTACACATTCCAAAACTACTGTTCATGCGATCATGCTTTTTTGATTGGTGCCTCTGTCTTGTCCACGTGCTCTGCATGCACCTTGCAGGAAATATGATTGGTTACAGTCCAACACTTCCCTGCCCACCTTTATCTTGGTTCTTCTAATCTTGGTATTCTGTTTTTGGCTTCTCTCCCAGTTTAGCACAATTTATGTTTCAGTAGTAGCCTTGATGAATTCCAGAATGTTTCATAAAAGGACTGAAAAACAGCTAAGAATGACTCGGCTGGTGCACCTGGTATAAACAATGGCCTAGACTATGCAAATACATTGCTATAGGCTAGCTTGGTTTTCTTGGCCCAGAC